TATTTAAATAAAACCTATATGAATTCATCAGATTTCTGGACTTCGTATTAGGTTTTGGACTTCGAGCAAATAAAACTTACGATTTCACTTTGGACTCTCTTGCGATTTCACTTGTGACGTGCAACTCTTTTTTGTTTTTTGGATCACGTCTTACATTTTATATACCAAACCTTTTTTCTTAATGTATCAACGTGATAACGATTCTTAGTTTTGGTTATAAAACGAATCCATAATATGACTACTGCTGTGATACGCGTTTTGCAACAGTGGCAAATGTGTAAAAAAAAAAGTGACACATAGGTGCTGCTGCTCTGAAGCTCGGACTGTCGGGAGAGCAAAAGTGAAATCAGATAGGTGCCTTTTGTCTTTTGTTTTAATTTGAGCTCTTTCAACGGGCTCTTACCGTAGCTCGTGTGAGAGCAATTGCATTTGCAGTTGTCTCGATAAGCAGAATTTTTTTCCCATCCGAACTCACCTCATAATGTGCTTTCACATTCATGAATCCATAAACACAGGAGTTCCTTCTTAGCTAGATTCGTTGGCCCCGCCTCGCTGACTGTACAGTACTGTTTCAAGCATGAGCGCAGAACCTTTATTTGTACCGTAATGTAGGACATAAAGGCACAAAAAACTGCTGTGGCCTGCAAGTTACTGGTCGACACCCCTTGTTTTTGTCTCATACTTTAAAGGTGCACTTTTTTACGGAGCCCCGCAAGGGACATGGGAGGAAAAAAAAATTACGATGAACTTTTGCGAGATCTCGCAAAACAAACTCGGGATCTCGCAAAACTTTGCGAGATTTCGCAAAAGTCCGTCTTAATTTTTTTTTCTGCCATGTCCCCTGCGGGGCTCCGTACTTTTTACATATCTTTATCTACTATTATTTTTTCAAAGTTATGATCAATGAATAGTTATTCAGTCCAGTTTAAAGAATTAAGTGGTTTAAGTGGTATGGAAATGCAACATGTTGCAAACTATAATGGGAAATAGATGTCAAAAACATAACTATAGCTCTTATATAGTATATAATAAACTCATGGACTTATAGGGCATTTGTTTTACCTCAGAACATCTATTTGTGAGGGATATTTTTACACTAAATTATTCTCTTGTATTTTTCATGACTCATTTTATCTCGATACCAAAACAAGACCTTTCATGAGAAATCATTCTACCTGATTAACTTGTTGGGCGCAAACTCTATTAGTCACTACCTCGTCTCCATAGTCACCTTCACTGCTTTGTTTAATTGGACAGCTTACGGTTGGTGTGGGCGTAATGCCTTGGGGGGGGGGGGGTACCAAATGTGTTCATGAAGATAGGTGTGTTTGGCTTACCAACAAAAACATTATGGAACTTCCCACATTCTATCTCTGAGAAACTGATCAGGTGTGTCTTTATAGACCTGTCACAATAAATCAGTTGCAACGGGAGAATTATTATTGTGTGGCTGTCCTTCTATAAATACCTGACATATCTTAGATTTTTTTTTCTCACTGAACTTTATTAACTTTTCGACAGATCACATACACAAAAAGCCACAAACACAAAATAGAATAACTTTTACTGTATTTATATCGTATGTATGGTAAAATAACAGTAATTGAAGCTTATTCATTGGTCACAACCACATGCTCATAAGACCCATAGGGCATTGGTGTTTACCATACAGAATTGCACTCCCTGCCCACTTCATTAGGTACACCCTACTACTAGTTGGACCCCCTTTTGCCTTCATAGCTGCCTTAATTCTTTGTGGTATCAATTCAACAAAATGCTGGAAACATTCCTCAGAGATTTTTGTCCGTACTGATATGATAAAATCATGCCGTTGCTGCAGATTTGTTGGGTGCACATCCATGACAACAATCTGCCGTTCCACCACATGCCAAAGGTGCTGTATTGGATTGCGATCTGGTGACTGTGGAGGCCATTTGAGTACATTGAACTTATTGTCATGTTCAAGAAACTAGTTTCTGATGATCTGAACTTTGTGAACTGATTTGTTACCTTGCAGGAAGCAGCCATCAGAAGATGTATACACTAGTTATAAAGGGATGGACATGGTCAGCAACAATACTGCAGCAGGCTGTGGGATTTCAGTGATTCTCAGTAGGTATTAAGGGCTGAAACTGTGCCAAGGAAATATTATATTCGTTATAACACCACCATTTGGCCTGAACAGTTGTTAGAAGACAGGATAGATCCATGTTTTCAGTTTCAGTTTTCATTGTCCAGTTTTGGTGAGCTTACATGAATCCTAGCTTCACTTTACTGTTGTTAGCTGACAGCAGCAACGCCTAGTGTGTTTTTCTGCTGTTAAATTGCAGATAAATTGCACTTTTGGAGATGCTCTTCTGTGTGGCTTGGTTGTAACAAGTGGTTATCTGAGTTACTGTTGCCTTCCTATTACCTCAAAGTAATCTGGCAATTCTCCTATGATCTCTGACATCAATAATGCATCTTCACTCAGAGAACTGCTGCTGATTGGAACTTTTCTCTTTTTTTGGACCATTCTCTGTAAACCCTAGAGATGGGTGTGGTGTTTCTGAGTTTCTGAAATGCTCAGACAAGACTGTCTGGCACCAAAAGGGTATCTTAAATCACCTTTCTTTTACATTCTGACACTCTGAATTTTAGCATGTCATGTTGACCATGTCTATATTCCTAAATAAATTAAGTTTCCAGCATGTGATTGGCTGATTAGAAATTTGTGTTAGCAGGTGTACCAGATGAAGTGGCCAGTCTACATGTTTGCCATTAGATTTGAGCACATTAACAAACAAAACATACATTTTAGAATTAGCAATAAAAACAAACACTGCTTTGACTAATGGGAAATCTAAATACTAATGTATTTTGGCATAAACCAAAGTAATTGTCAAACTACAATAACTTTAGATGGTGCTAATTCAATTAATCTTCTGGTGACCTTGAATGTCCGTTCTACAGTAATCCATTACATCACTGAAGAGTTTTTGATGTATACCAAAGTGATGAACTGGTCTATCAACAGTGGCTAAAAATGAAAGAAAAAGAAATCCCACAAAAACTGTTTAATTGATTCCTCAAACATTATTTACACAACTCCAGAAGAACACAAGTGCCAGATGACAAAAATAAAAAGGACAGTTCCTACACAAAAACCACACAGAATATTTAAATAAACAGGAAGTCAGAAGAAGAACAAATGAATTGTCTATATATGTGTAGTAAATCAAGATGTATACAGGATAGGAACGTGCTTCTCCCATTGAGATTACAAAAAAAATCTCTGCTTGTGTCGCTGTGTCGTTTTTTTATGATGACATTATTGTTTGTTTTCCTATCAGGAATATTCAAGAGCATATAAGGAATAAGGCAGGACTGGTCAGTGCCATGATTGATGCCCTAGTGTTATGTGGCAAGTGCACTTCAGGACCCAATGAGTTTACAACACTCAAGGTTTACATTCTGGTTTGAATGCTTTGTTCTGATACGTTGTATTGCTGGATCAAGCACCATGAGGTGACTGTAGTTGTGAATTGATATAATATAAATAAGACTGAATTATTGACCGAGAGTGTTTCGGCAAAATGTATTGTTGACCATGATGTCCTCAGTGCAAGCAACGCATATCGAATTTTTCTGGATTATTGTACGAGTCTCCATTACAGGAAGTTATCTAAAAGAGCATCGCAGGACATTTCAGTGCTTTTGTTCACTGCAGGGCAGTACTGCATTTAAAGAAAAAATTTGTATTTTGAAGGCATCGGTGGCTAGTCCTATTTGTATTATTATTATTATTGAGTGGGTATTTTTTGTGCATTGTCACTCCTGATACACTATCTACGTAGTTCAGTGTTACAAGAAAAAACAGCTTTTGTCTGTCACAGATTACAGGTTAAGAAGGCAGATCGCTGACACTGCGTCTGACCCACAGTTTGTAGAGTGGAATTGATCACAGATTATTAACATTTCTCAGCTTGAGGCTAGGCTGTTAGCAACAGTCTCTGTCCTGTATTGCAGCTATATGGTGCTTTACAAGTAACACACATTACATGACCTGCAGCACTATGCAGCCTCTATAGCCATATATCAAAGTTTAAAGGGAGCAGGGCAAGTACAAAACTTCAAGGCAACAAAAAAGACATTCAGAAGTTACGAATTTTTTGTGTGTGTGCTACATTTGGAAAAAAGCAGTAGCGCTGCATTCTTTGCATTTTACAATAATATTAACAAAATAGCACAGCAAACAAGTTGACTAAAGACAATCTATCGGCTCCGAGGCACGGCTGCTAAATGTAAAGGATTCCTATAAAAAAATCACAAGTGAATGGCGTTTGTAATGTGTATACATGAACAATAAAAATACACTGTTACAGCAGCTGGCTTGCTCAAATAAAGAGACACACAATGAGAAGAGTTTTACATCTGCCACCAGCGGAGGTGGTTGAAAGAGTTTAGATTGCAAGATTAGCTAAAATAACTAAGACTGCAAACGGCCCGACTGTGGACACACATACAGCAGCTGTTATGTTTGTGTTGTTATTATTTTACATGCATGAGCAGTTTAATTTTAAAAAAAATGTAATTGCGTAAATGACAGATTAAGAATGAATACAGAACACTCTTTCATTGTTATAGCCTCCTACTGGTTTGCTTGTCTTCTCAGTAACAGATGGGTAAAAAGTTAAAGGTTGACCCAGCATTAAGGGTGTTTAAAGTGTTAAGCCAGTTCTGGAACTATTGGAGGAATAAAACAATATTCTTCTGAAAAAATATTCCCTCATTATGTATTTTGATAACGTTGTTGGAGACCTGGGGGGAGATCTCAGACTGATAAGTCCATAGTTTATGGATCCCATTATTTTCATTCTTACCAAGCAATTAAACAGGCAATTTGGATGGGTGTATTTTCATCTTGTAAGAGACTTCAGGCATCAAAGTGAAATGTTTTAAATTTAGAATAGCTCAGAAATTTGAAATTTGAAACAGCAACAAAAAAATCTCCCTGCAGCATAAACCATCCTTTAATTTGTCACCCTGTATATCTTCTCTGTGTGTCTGTAGATTGCTCAAGCCAGGCTGTGTCAGTGAAAGGCACTATAGAGAAAAAAAAAAAGACTGCTTCACAACTACACACATACTACATCAGAACAAAGTCTAATACATTACTACATGACCTCCATTGAATTTGTCCATGTCAGGTGACCATTCATCCATTTACAGAAACAACACTGGATTAGACTTTACTTCATCGTACTTTAGTAAGTTTAGACAATATATTTTTGTTGGCTTGTTTTTGGTATTTCCTAAATTAATATGACTTGAATCTTAGGCTGTATTTGATTTGTGTCATCTTTTAATGTATTCAACCGACCGAGGAGAAACGGTCACTTAACAGGATTTTAAATCAAACCCCTTCACCTATCAGAAAACAAGCACACACATTCAGTGACATCGGTGGTCATCTAAACAAGAATACTAGTCTTTAAATCCTTTACCACAGCTCCTAACCAGACTCCACAAAATGCTTGCTACTGTGTCCCCCTGTTATCCAGTTAACCTGCATCTGTACTATAGATAATTGAAAAAGAAATGTCTTATCTAAATGATTTAAAATCATACGGGCAGTTCAACAATGGCAAAATTGTAAAAAAATTCCAAAGAAACAATTACAAGTTAAACACCTACAACATCGATTTCAGTTACTGTTTTGTATTTACATTGAATTAATAGTAGCCATATAAATAAAATTAAAAGGTAGGTATATAATTAATCCATTTTATGGTTATACGTAAATTGAGATTAAATCTCTTTAATGGCCACTCTGAAAAAAATTATAATAATTTGGTTTAAAGTAGAGTGTTTGACCAATTATTTTAATACATTTTTTTAACAATAATGAAAGCCCTAAAGATCACATGATCTTTTTCTAGCTCCTTCTTTCCACATTTATGCACACACAAGAATGAACGGATATTATTCACACGCACACTGAGACACATCCACGCAAGCTCGTGTAGAGCAACATACAGACATAGAAATTCAGACTGAAACACGCAGCCCTACTCTGGGGCCTCACAGTAATTTAGCTCTACAGAGGACAGAGCCGAACAGTGAGATTGCCACTTTGCTAGACTGTAGTTGGCCCAGGCGGTAAGGTGATCGTTTCAGGTCTAGGAGGAGTTCAGAAGGTTGCTAAGAACTGTAAATAAAGAAAGGAGGAAAAAAATAGATTAATGGTTAACACGTTTAAAGTATTACATGTGAATATTTATATCAAAAATGTGTTCTTTGCGTTTTCGTTGTGTGTGTGTTTGTCATACCCTGGGGATCTGACCGAGCCTCTGCTGCATCAGCTTTGTGTGGAGCCTCAGGGTCTGCTTCTAGTCACAAAGATTGACAGTCAGAGAAAAGCGAATAAAACAAACGTGGGAACTCATTGCTCAATTGCAAGGTTGTACTGCCAAGTTGAATTTCGCAAGTATTTAAGCAACAACCTCCAGAGCGGAAAAAATGAAGCCAACGTGCAATTGCCCAAAAAAATTGCAATTCCTTAAGGCTACAAATAAAAGTGAATATATGCTCATAGATCCCCACAAGGCTTATAGTTTGCATGAAAAAGGACAGCTTTGTGAGCACTACTGTATTACCGCCTGTCTGCTAGGCTTCACTTTCGCTGACTCAAACAACTGAACTGGACCCAAGTTAATCAAGATCAAAATGCAGAACTCCTATACAGCTATACAGCTATACTATTAAAGTTGAGGTTTCAAAACTAAGATTCGCAATCTGTGAATCTGTGACATCATGGTGGATATGCCCATCCTTTGTATACAGTCTATGATTTAGCTTAATAATGTTTCTACTAATTAGCATCAAGTTATTGCGTCCCTTCTCTCAAATATGAGGAAAAGCATTCATCTTCCTTCAGTGTGAAACTGCTTCACCAGCTGTACAGAAGTGTGAATTTCTAAGGATCTTGATTTCTTGGGGTAATTGCTTATTATCCAAACCATGAAAATTAGTTTCTTATTTTTTGTGTCACAGAGGAAAACTTATACCTATTCGTGAAGTCTTTTAAATTATTGTTAATGAAGCAGAAACTAGCTGCAATTACTACCTCTGCTCTTTACAGAGGAAAACTGCATGTTTTGCGTGTTTAAAAGAACTGGTAAACTTGAAAACCCGTGCTTTTAGGACTACAAGTAACAAACACACACCTTGCCCACTGGACACAGTTAGGATGAAACTTGATTTAAAGCGGAGATTCAGATAAAAGATGAATAATTTTCTTTTGTAGCGTCATTAAAGCTTAACAGATCTGAAGCTCTGATGGGGGTTGGCATTCATTTCAAAGAGCTTGGACATAAGCAGTTCTTCTGTTGCTAATGTGGGCACCAAACTGAACAACAAACACAATTTGGGATACACTTCATTCATTGTTGATGAGGGTCAAGAAGAATTTCTTGTCTGGTCAAATACCAAACCTTGCGTACAGCAGTTAAGGTAGCTACTGTATAAATTGAGTTTTCCCTTTGATTTATTATTATTAATTAGTTTTCCACCAGCAACAAAAGGATCAGATAATTACCCTGTCTATTTTTGAAGCACAGCTTCTTCTGTTGATAGGTGAAGTATCCAGCGATTGCTCCCACTGCAGACACAACAATCGCACTAAGGATTGCTGCTAAAGAGCTTGAGCTGGCCTCTGTAGCACAACAAACAAACAAAGAGACAAATAAAGATAAGTCATAACAGCAGAGAATGTGCAGTCAAGTTCAGCAGTATCCTATGAACATGCCACTGGAACTGTAAACCCATTGGTCTGAGCATTAATGTGATCTGTGAAAATCCATCTATAATAACTGTAACTGTAACACTGAGTGTCAGCACTGGGTGCCATTTTGCAGTTGAAAGAATGAATATCAATTTAGCAAAGAAGCTCACTGACATGACATAATGTGTGAATTATGTGTGTATGTGTGAGACAGACAGGGGGAAGGGAAGGAGAGATGAAGAGCAAGCAACAGTGTGTGTGTGTGTGTGTGTGTGTGTAAGCGAGAGAGCGAGGCTGCATCATCTCGTTCCAGAATTTTCTGATTCCTTTTCATTCGTCTGTCATTTAAACTTCCCACAGCATTCACAGTGAGCATTCACAGAAATCTGTCTGCACCTGTAACCCAGTTACTATGACAACACCAAAATGAATAGTTTTCATGCTGTGTGACAGCACACAGCCAAGTATAGGTACTGGCACATACATCACTAAATTGGCTAAATTGTGAGTAAATGTAATTAATTGTGCATCTAAATAATGTTTTTAACAAACAAAAAGGTTTAAGAGACCCCATCAAACTCATTGTAATATGTGGCTACACTAACACTACATATATCTGGCACATGATTTCATGCTGTTGTGTTTCCAACTTAAAGGCGAGGCTTTTATTGTCTTGTTGTGGCCTGAGTCGACAGCGAGACTTTCAGCGCTACAGGGGTGAAATTGATGTTGAGGCATAAAAGACAAGTTCGAAAAAAAAAAAGAATAAAAGAGGACAGGAGATCCAGAGCTCACGGCGAGAAAAGCAAGGGAGTGGCATGAGTCAGAAAAGTGAGACGAATAAAAAGTGGGAATTAGTCAGTTAAATTAAGTGGAATGAAACCAGAGAGTATAGTGAGTCAGAAAAAGGAAGTAAAGGTGGGTGGAAACTGACGTGTATGAGCATGAATGCGCATAAACGCATCACATACAGCTGGGACACAACTGTTTCTTGACCAGAGGCATTGACATGAAATAATACTAAATGACACTGACTATCATCGAAATATGTTTTCCATATCTTCAATAGAGTCGCTCCTGTAATTAAACATTTGGGCACTTGTGAGTTAAACCTTGAATCCATTTGGTAGATTCTACAGCTTTTGCTTCTTTTATAAAATTATTCTTAGATGTTTTTTAAACTTGAAAGGAAGGTTTAACCGTCAAACCTACCAAAGCTACTTGACTACACATAATAATTAAAGTTTTACCTCCCTTTACCACTACAATGGATTCTAAATTGAACAATCAATATGCGATTGAAATGCTGACTTCAAAGCATTAACTGTTTCGGAATTACAACCTGTTACAGTCAATCGAAGCCACTATACTTGGTTAATGAAAACACTTTACAACATCTAGCCAAGTCAAGAACACTCTCAAGGAAGTAGGTGCGCCTTTCTCAAGGTCTACAATCAAGAAATGCCTTCACGAACACAGCATTTACAACAAGGTGTGAAGCCCTGGTTATTCTCAAGAACAAGAATGCCAGATTAGCTTTGCTGGAAAACATCTAAAACTGCCTGCAGAGTTCTGACAAACATGGAACAGATTAAATAAAGCTGAACTAGTACTATGAAAGCATGGAGTAAAAGAGAAACAGCTCATGATCCAAAGGCATGTATGGCTACCAAGGGGAACGGATCCACTGGTATTTACTGATGATGTGACTGATGAGATAGCCCGTCACAGTGCAAATAGATAAAAACACAAAGCATACTGCAAAGCTACCCAAGAGTTTCTCAAGGCAAGAAATTCGATAGGGCCAAGTCAGTCACCTGATATCAACCCAGTAGAGCATGATTTTCAGTTACTGACGACAGAACTAAATGCAGAAATACCCACAAATAAGCAGCAACTGAGAGTGGCTTCAGTAAAGACCAAGCACAGCATCTCAAGTAATGTGACATTTGGTGATGTCCATGGATTCGGGGCTTTAGGCAGTCACTAACTTCAAAGGATTATCGCCCAAGTAATAAAAACAGTCTTTGTGAGCCTCTAAAAATGGGACCTATGTATAAAAATGTTTCTAATTCAAAATTAAAAGTCTGACTCTTTAATTTAAAACCCACTGAGCAGTGTATAGAGGCAAAACTCCAAAATTTAACTGTAGTGTTAGAAAGACAATGTAAACAGACTATAATTAAAAGTGACTGAGATGACCCGATCAATAATGGGGTTGTAATTAGGGTGTTGCTGTGGGGCTTGAATTATTTGCTACCAAAACATTCTGGTAATAATCATCACAGTGAAGTCATAGTTGGCCCAGCAGCGATTCACTTCTGAAGTCTGTGTCTTGTGCACACAGACTTCAGAAGTGGTGCTCAGGACGCTGTGAGCCCGAGAAGTCAGTGAATATTTAGCAATGCTACAAATGAGTAATGCTCATGTATATGTGTGCAGGTTGGGAACTGAATAGATTTTTGATCAGTGAATATGGAAAGAGATTATGGTGAAAGGTTGAGAGTCTTAGCCAACTAAGTTACATGTAGGTTTGTGGCACACGTGGATTGTTACTTTAAAATAGGAAAACAGAGGAGAGAACTCACTTTGGGGCTGTTGATCTGCTGTAAAGAAGAGAGAACACACAAAAAGTTAGCAACACAACAACATCACATTCAGTTGTTCATGGTAAACTGTTTGTATCCTTTCATCTGCTCTGATATGAACATTTAATTCTACTGTTTCACATACTGAAATTCAAGTTATTTCCAATAAAATTCGATGTGACACACCCCTAAAGACCTGCTTCAAACACGAGAGAGAGGCATTTCTCTGTGACTCTTGTATCCTGTTTGCATTGACAAAGGCATGCCAGTAATATCCTGTCTGTTTCAGAACCACATTGGGCCTATTTCTGCTGCTGCGGCTACGATCCTATGTACGGTATTTGACTAGGATTTGCACTGTAATATTTTGCTATCATGCGTATTTTTGATCACAAAGACAGACAGAAAAAATTAAATCCTTACCACCGCTCTCTGAGGCACCCAAAGCAGGCACTAAAGAGAGACAGAAGGACAAGAAAGGAGAGAGAAGGTATTATTTAAATGCTCTAATGATGCATGTAAAGCATTGTTGCTGAAATGACAAAGTGGAAAAAAGGAAGAAAGGTGAGATTATTCTCTTTACAGTGACTTGTAACCTCAGGGGCATTAAGAGTTCTAAAGTTTCTGTCCTAACTAGACTGTACAAACACACACACACGCTCATGCATACACAAGATTGTATGAAACATCCCTTATGTACAGTTACAAAGATGGCAAAGATACTTTTATAGCATCAGAGCGATAAAATATCTCACAGAGAGAGAGCGAGAGAGAGACAAACACTTTCTCCAGCTCTTTCACAACCTGATCTTTGATTTTATCCACACTCAAACAACCCTGTTATCTCCTTCTGCACTGCCTGTCTGTATATGTCTGTGACATCATCCTTGCCCTTTACTTGCTTCGACTTGAAGAAGCTGCTAATAACAGAGTACTAAAGAGGAGTCTTTCACCCTTCGCAAGTATATAAATGATTATACTACTTTTGAGTTTTCACATTTCAGGAGGGAACTGAGAAGCTGCTTCAGGAAAATCTGCTGTTCCCACATTTCTGTCATATTGCCGCAAGGTTAGTGATTAAGCTTTTGTAAAACAAGTCAGTTCAGCACCTTGTCATGGGAGCAAGGCACTGAACCGACAGCCTTCTTCCAATAGAGAGACAAGAGGAATGAGAAGAATGTTTTATGAAAACCAAACTACACCTTACTAGCCCCTGATTGCAATGCTAACTTTGGACATACACAGGACATTTTTAGTTTGGATACAACAATAAATTCAACCATAATAGTTATGAATGAATACCAACCATCTTCGCTTTTATTTTCGTCGTTTGACAAAATAAATGAAATAAAATTAACAAATACCGTGGATCAATAAGAAAATGCAAAATTATTCTCAGAATGGGAATTTCTTATCAGATGTTTATGAATACATATCGTTAGCTTCATAGCATAAGTGCCTAAGTCATTTTTTTGTGTTTTCGGAAAACAAGAAAAAACTAATTTTCTAAATATCACATGCATATTTTTAAATATCACATGCATATTTTTAAATATCACATGCAATTTGACCAAAAAATGACTTAGGCACTTATGCTATGAAGCTAACGATATCACAAATCTAACACACTATAACATGGTGTTTCTGTCCCCCTTTCATTGGATTTAAATGGGAGCTGCCAGCGTCTTGAGCTCAGTCACATTTAACTACACAGTAACGATTAGCATTTGGTTTGACTTAAACGAAATCATGCATAGTTTATACACTTCTTGCTGGTTATGTTGTACAGGAGGTGCTAACAGTATGAACTAATTTTGCACTGAAATGCATTAGTGTTAATATGAATACATTCAGTGGTAGATGTACTATACAGTAGGCTAAACACCCACTAAAATATTCACAAATAATAAGTACTCTAAGAAGTTTCAAATCCCAATTTAACCTTTGCTCAAGACCTACTGTGAATGTGGTGCATTAGCCCTGTTGTACCAGGCTCTAGAGCTACCAGAGGACCATCTCAAACCCCAGTCTGTGATGCAGTTTTCAAGTGATCAAGTGCTAAAAAATGTTTGGTAGAGGAATAACTTTGTTATTTTTTTTAAACCTTTGTGAAGATGACAACAGTCTTGTCACTAATTTCCCCTGTAATATTTTACATCTTAATGGCTTTAAGACTCTAATTTCACCACTTAAAAATAATAGATAATTAGATGATGGCAGCTAAGGCAAAAGCCTCAACTGGATATACAAATACAACTATTCATAGTTGATCCCTAAGATCTGGTCGCTGTGGTAAACAGGGCTAATCTCATTGCACTGGTTGTGTTGTTTCAGATCTTTATTTATTCTGGACATTTTCGGTTATTGGTTACAAGAATAAACTGAATTTTAATTGTTATGAGCAATTACTAACCACCTAACTCCTGGTGTGTTACCACCCTCTTCTCCACGGGACTTTCCTGGTTTAACCCTGTATATAGTAAAATAGTCAATAAATGGATGAATAAATGAATTAATTAATCAATCAATCAATCAATAAATTAGACAATCAATAAGCCTGTTAGTCAATCAATCTTGCCAATGTGTTTTTAAAAACATTGAAGCAAAAAGCATGTAGCCCTCCATGTCGATGGGGCCATGACAGTTGATCCCTAAGAGATGGTTATTGGTTACGACACTAAAGTGAATTGAAATTATTATGAGCAATAACTTCCCAACTTCCCAACTTCCAGTTACAGATGGGAAGCGCATCTGTAACCGGAAGGTCGCCGGTTCGATCCCCGGGTGTTGGGCAAAGGGGCAGATGGCGCAATATGGCAGCCTCGCTTCTGTCAGTCTGCCCCAGGGCAGCTGTGGCTACAACCGTAGCTTGCCTCCACCAGTATGTGAATGCGAGAGTGAATGAATAGTAGCATTGTAAAGCGCTTTGGGTGCCTTGAAAAGTGCTATATAAATCTAATCCATCATTATTATTATTATTATTATTACCTGAATTCTGCTGTGGTCCCATCCTGCTCTTCACGGGACTTTCATGGTTTAACCCTGTATACAGTAAAACAATGAATAAATGAATGAATGAATGAATGAATGAATGAATCAATAAGCCTGTTTGTCAGTCAATCAATCTTGCCAATGTGTTTGTGAAAACACTGAAATAAAAAGCATGTAGCCCTCCATGTCGATGGGGCCATAACAGCTGATCCTTAAAATCTACAGTCACTGTGGTAAACAATGCTACTCTCTTTGCATCGCATAGATTGTACTGATTTGAAATTTTCAGTCAAAACTACACTTTAGGCTAAATCTCCATCAGTATCTGTTCGTGCTGTATTGGACAGGTACTTCTGTGCATCTCCATTTTTTTTTTTTATCAATAACAACAATAAATTCAACAGCAATTATTATGAGCAATTACTGACCATGTGTTTCCTGCTCTGCAATTGACGTCTTCTCAATGTTAAACCCTGGATCTGGTAAATAAACAAATAAATAAATAAATACATACATACATACATACATAAACAGAAATACAAAATCAATCACTGTACAGGAATTTTATCTAGATAATGCCAAAACATATTGAAACACATGTAACACACTGTAACACTCTGTTCTCAGTCCCTCATGACCCTCGTGAATGCCCTGCAGAGGTGTTCTCAGTACTGAAATACTGAAACACAGCCAGCTCCAAGGGTGTAACTGTGATCTTGTGAACCAATGTTGACTTAGATTAAGGGATATTGTCTGTCACGAACAAAACCTTACCCTACTATATATTTATTGGGGAAAACCCAATTGACTTAAATAACATGTGGGACTCAGTGTACGGTGTTAGGCTGGCCAGGGCAGGGTGGGGTGTGATCACCGCATTAATTTATCACTGATAGAAACCTCAGTGACCTATTTTCTAGGGACCTATTCTTTCTGTTAATAACATCATGAAAACAAATGCAATTAAAATACCAACATAATTTATTGATAGGATGGATGTTAAATAACAAACCTACATTACTCTCATTCTGACCCCCACATCTTTTCTTCTTGTCTGAATAGTTCTTCCAGGGTAATTGGTCCAAATTACTAACTTCCTTTCACCATCTCAGTGCTTGCACTTCTAGGGACAAGCTATGCTAAAGCACAATGTCTCTGTCTAAAAAAAGGTAAAGCCAAACATAACCTTAGAATAGGACATACTGACATGAGGTCAGCATAACATTTAGTATGAAAGAGCACAAACTCCAGTTTGAGAAAGAGGGTGTTATAAGATAAATAGAAATAAATTAAGGGAGACACTTCTATTTTCATAAACCTTTACTCGGGTCATTTGGCAGGCTCATGACATTCATAATTTGGAAGATAAAATCAGCCAAGCCAAAATCCCACCTTAGAACCTTCCTAAGGGAATTGTATTTCCTGATAGAAAGGCACAGATGGGTTATTTTGTTCAGAAAACAGGGAGTTGCAGAAAAAAATATAGAGTACATTACACCTCAAAAAAGCATTACAGCATGTACATATTTTTTAATGAGTGACAATGCAAAAGTTCTGTCAGGAGTAGTTTTATTAGTCCCAGAATCAAAGAATCTCTCACTTGAGATCGAATCTCAAATTTAAAATATGTAGTTATGGCCAAAATCTAGAAAACAAAACTGCAAGAATGAAAGGCATTCTTCAGATCTGTTTGATTTGAAGTCTTTGCTCAGGGACAGGCAGCGCTGCCGTAAATTCAGAGATTATGGGAAAACCCCAAGATTCAACTGATTATCTTAAGAAAGCTCTAAAAAATGTTTCTGCTCAAATGATTTTCAAGCCATGCAGATCCTCATCTGTCGTTTCTGTAATTATTTAAAATGCTGTAAATGAACATTTCTGAACATCAGCTTAACTTGCAAGCTTCTGTGCATTTCATATAACTGAATTTAAGGAAAATAAAATGTTTTTAGGTCTTGTTTAGAGGTTATATGATCAAAAGAAGAAGGAGTCATAATGCCAAATAATAACCGACCTGCATTTGCAAAGGGCAAATACAGGTATGTTTATTGTCTGTATGCTATTATTTGTGTATATATGAGGCATATAAAGGTCTCTTTATACTACTTGTTATGACTTGCAGTTCTACTGTCACACAAAATACATGCTTATACTGGAAACAAGGGACAGCAGGTGACGTTTTACTAAGAAGTTTGTGTAATATCCCATCATAAAAGACACTCAAGAGATGGCCTCATCTACAGAATACATGTGCTTGGCTCTGTTTACAACTTTTTCTCTGTGGTCTTAGCACATGCTCATTTTCAAAACTCAGGTGCATTTTCCATATTCATGAATGCATGTACAAGAGTGTGCAAAATATGTACTTGAATATCTTTACTTACTTATAGTGACAGTTTCATCTGTGGTTGTGAAATCATCTGTGGATGACTCTTCATTAGCAGATGGATCAGTTGGTGCCTCCTCATTGGCTTCTAGACCTACTGTTGTTATGATGTCATGAAGTCCACTCTATTAAAAAAATATTATAACACATATGAACCCATAGTACAGGACACGTTTACTCACTATCATAGCAACCTATTAATGACATCTGTAAAATACAAACCTTAATAGGTGTGAATAAGAAGTTTTACTTTTTTAAAAATGGTATTAACCTGGTCTTGAGCAGGTGTTGTATTCGCATTTGTGGTGGGTTGCGCCTCCTCATTAACTGCTGTTTGCGTAGCTTCTGGAGTGTCATCCTCAGAATCAGCAGCTGGCCATGGATAGAAGTGAAACAGAAGTAGCGAAGCATTAGTTCACTGATTTTTCTTTTTATAGCCCAATTACCACATTCTGTGGCATGGGCTTTTAGGGCTTGTTTTGCTGCACAGTTAAAAACAATACAAGAAAGACATGTAAGAAACATTTTACATTATAATAGCCATTCCTTCAAAGTTACATCATTTTTTTGATGTAATAGTCCAAAGTTGAACCTGCTTTTTGCTGCAATGAAGAATGAAGATATTTATTTTTAATAAACTGCAGCTTTATTAACTACCTGAAACATTTTACAGCAGAGAGGTAAAAAAAGAAAAGAAAGAAAGAATAAAAACAACAGTGTAGTATGAATGCCAAGTATTAAAAAGTGAGGAAACTGACAGCAGTTTATTTATCTAACAAAAAAAGAGAAACAAAAGCACCACGTTTCATTATTGCTTTAAATTCTATTAATCACCTTGTGTAGTTGTAGGCGCGTCAGAAATAACTGGTTCTGTTTCTCCAGTCGTAGGACTCGCTGATTGACCCTCCTCCCCTGCAGGAGCATCTGTAGGCACTGGCTCTGTGCTTACATCTGCAGCATTTGCTTCTTGGATTAATTCAGCCTCAGGGTCAGCAGTGGGCTCAGGCTGCAATACTTCCTGTTTGGCACAACATTTTATTTAAATAAGCAACGGTCTATGTAACACTAGGTGAGATTTTCAAACGGCTGACAGGGACCCAGGACTGAACAGTTCAAACAAAATATCTCAACTTCTCACCTCAGTTGCAGTGACCATCTCCCCAAGGTTATGCTGGTCGATGACCTCTACATCTGCTTTAGATGTGGGAGTTTCAATAGATGGCTCTACTGTTGGGATTATATCATCTGCACAAAGTTAAGTGAAAGACGCAAGTCAGAGAATAATACAGTGTGGGATTACATACTGACAATCAGTTGGAAACAGATGGGAAAAAGCCAATTCATGGTGCCACAGCTGGCAGAACCTGTGCAACAAGCTTTTTTAATCAAACAAAAAAGGCAGACATGGCGACTCAAAGTCCACCTCAGTGTCTCAAAGAATATTTTTCCATGCTTTTGAACCCATAGAACTTCCCGATGATACAATTCCCTATTTTGTACCTTTTCTGTTTGAAAACCAATGCAAGGAATATCGCATTGGTTTCTAATATAATAATATAGATAATAAAGTTTCAACTAAAATTTTGGCATGATTTGTGTAACCGCTGATTATTAAAAAGCAGCACGCCTTAATTGCCTTCCATCTGTTGCTCCTCTAAGTCATTAAAGTCATCTGAGTGGTGTTTAAGATGACACATACATAAACTTAGAACCACACCCTGGCCTGATTGGTGCCTGATGCTATCGATCCAGCCAAAAACAAACAAAAAAAGCCTGCTTCACATACACATCGATCACTTGTGACCTGCTTCCACATCAAATGCAGTCTTAACCTCAGCACTGGCATTGCAACTCTGTGCTAATGAGAAAACTGACAAGAGAGATGTGCTCTTTGTCAGTCTGTGTGTGACAAGCAATGTGTGCGTGTACGCCTGTGACATTCCCCCGTCGCATGTGACAAGCTCAAGCAGTAAAGTGAGCTCTGGCTTGATTGTTCTTTGCTTGCTGACGTCAGCAGCACCCTGATGCTGGTTTATCTGAGCAGATCTTCTTTCACAAAACACCCAATATTAAGGCAGGACTGATTAAAAAATCTAATCAAATACCTCTACCACTTTTTTAAGAGCTATTCATTGCAGGGTGGATTTTCAATAAAGAATCACGGGGCTTGCCAAGTGAGATTGTATCACAATCAGCAAAGCCTGGAGGGAGAGCAGCAACACATCTAAAGTATTTCCATCGGGGTGAAAATCTTTTAGTGGTAACAAGTACTGGCTACACCCTGAATCCATTCATCCACACAAACATACATTCATGTTGCAGGAAAAAAGAAATCACACACACAAACAAAAGCAAGTGCACACACACACTGCAGCATGAATATTTGACATGCAAACTCTCATGCACCACTGCATGGCTCCTGAAACCATCGTAGAAAAAAATCTCTTTGTTCAACTGAATATCACTGCACCAGTTTAACAAACATTAATCAGTTTCCATACATTGTGCGCATGGATATGTGTGGTATGTATCAATTTCACTATCTTAATCAGTTCTTTGGAAATTACTGTCTTCAGCAAAGATGTGCTGTAGCATGCCACTTCAGGCTAATGGGGTGGAACACAGTTAAGATTGAAGTTGATGAGTCTCACCAGAACACCTATGATGAGGCACAGAAAAAACACTACATTCATCAAACTGTTCCTTAGACAGCTGTCAGTAACCTTCTGCCACAATCTTATTAATAATCTCTCAAACCATTAACTCTAATAATGAGTCTCTATTTGTGTGAGAACGCAGTGTGTATGAGACATGAGGATAAAATATAATTCCCCCAGTTGTTGTGCATGTGTGTTTGTGTTTATGAGTGTGTAGAGGCTACCCCTCTATGCAAACTCCTTCTTCATAGAACATTCTGTTCCCATCTATTAGTTTGCCACTTCCTCGTTTAACTACCTCTCCCATAAGCATTGCCCAGTCCAGCAACACTTACATGCATACATACAAACTCATGTAATGTTCCCTCCTCCCCTCCTGTCCCCTATCATACAAACAGCTACATGTTCACACACGTGTGAAGTTCATGTGCACACATGTTCCCATTCACCCTCTCTGAGTAAGGGGAGCCCTGTTTTGTGTTAGCACAGCAGTGAAGCCAACTGTTGCACATCCCAAGCGCTCTCACTCCTTGCCTTCCCTATCGCCCCTTCCATTTCACCAAGTCTCGACTCTCTCTCTCTTTCATTGCCGCTACTTTCCCTTGAGGCTGATGAGTCATCTGTGTCTCTGACATGGCCGCACGCTATTGTGTGGCGCAAAACAACTGTGCTAAACTGCAAAAATATTCCCTGAGAAAGAAGTTCCTAAGTTAAACCAGTTCACCCATGTGGGAACGTATCTTACTATCAATTAGACTGACGGAAATATCTCTCTAACAGCACCTAGAAGCTCATTAATTAACAAAAATTAAAGTGTAATAAAGAGAACTTGTCTTGTTGGGTTTATGCCGTCGCTGTGAGTCGCTGGAAATGAATGCCGCCACTATTAATTTTATTATTATTATTGATTAGACTGCTGATTGATTTTTTTCAAATACTGACTAATTTAATTGGGTAGAATGAAAGCAGATGTGGGAAATGTGGGAAATGCCTAATATAATTTCATTCAGCCCGAGTGACATGATCAAATGTCTTGTTTTGAATATCTGTGCAGCTACAAATGGCAAGTATTCAACATTTTAGATATAAGTGAATTATTACTTAATCATTCAACTGCCAACTACATTTATATCAAATAATATACTGGCAATGAGCAGGCAGTTAATTGATTATTTCTAGCTGCTCTCCTGAAAAGGACGACTCTTGGAAAAGACATATTTCTGCCTATAACTCCTGGCAACTTCTAGCTCCGTGAGAGAAATTTTATAAGCATCTTTCCACACAGCTCATTTCGAGTCCATCTTCACCTTTCCGTGTTACATAACCGGCAGTTTGCTTTACTACTTTTTTATATGACATGTATCTAGAAAGAAGAGTGATTGATAACAGCCTTCTGGATCTATGCCAAAATGTAAGAGTTCATCCTGAAGTATGCTGTACCTCGCCTATATAATTCAACCAAGATGAAATTGTAATATAGCACTTAGGATAGCAAACTGATATGGGCATCAGCTTTGTCATGGTGGCACTCTGGCATAAATCAACATGCTTTAAAAAAAAGAGCGAGAGACAGAACTGTCATGACAAGGAACCAGGAAAAGTGGTTCTTGGGAAATAAGGTAAGAACTTTAATTAAAAGGAAATTCCACTTAAATATATGTGATTGCAAAGAATGCCACAAAGAGGTGTGGTTCTTATGAACAATTAATATACTGAGTTAAATAATGATGTTTCTGTAGTTTACAGCATGTTAACTAGTTTCAATGTTTTCAGGAAAGGGGACTAGTATAAACATTTGCCACATCAAAGATAGCAATCTATATACTGTGAAAAGCCCCTTGTAAAGAAATGACTAATTAACTTATCTTATGTTATCTTATCTTATCTTATCTTATCTTATCATAGAAAGATAAATAACATGGACAGTTGGGAATTATACTAGTATGTGGATATGTCCAGTGATGGAACTCCTTATCTTGGCATTTTATATTACGCCCTAGCAAGCCTGACAATAAAAAGCTGAATTTGTTTTAATTCCTATTACGTTCTCTTTTTGTTTGTTTTGGAAACTGAAGAAGAGTAAAGGTGTTTTTAATGGAGTTTTAGTTATGTAACACACAGGACTGTGCATTACATAAATTGGAATCTGAAACACGTTACCAGCACCATGAAGTAAAAAAGAACATTACTCTCGAGCTTTTCTGGTTCCTACCATGAGATTTTGTGCGATTTCCTGTGTGTAGCTGAATGAGTAATAATGCGTGTGCATGCCCTGCCTTGTAAAAATACACATGAACTCATTTGTGCATGTGTGCCAGGTGACACAGGTATGGTTCTGTTGTGTTTCTATGGGATAGAAAGTGCTGTGTTTACCCCAATCATGTGTCTTAACAATGCCCCCATAGAGATAATGCATGTGTGGAGTGTTTGTGTGCATGGGTGTGGGTTTCCCTTATCCACCGAAAGAATGATTTATGTGCTAGCAGTTGAAGGTGTAAACACAGACAAGTCTGCACACACACACACACACACACACACACACACACACACACACACACACACACACACACACACCTGGCTCACATCACAGCTCTTTTTTCTTTTATTTGTTTCTAAGGCAAACACATGTTCCCTAGCTGAATTGTGCACACCGATAAATAAAGCACACCCATACTCCCACATGTTCTGTACATTAAACTTCTACCCCACTCCCACCTACACATACGCACACAGATGCTAAGGGCCCCCGGAAAGCGTAAGGCGCTGAGACTAGTTCTGTAGATGGGTGTTGTCTACAGCTGGTGCTGGATCTAGTTACTGACACTCCCTATCATTCAACTCTATAAATCGCACTATAACTGATGTGCACATATACAGCTGAGCTAGCGCCCCATCTTTTTTGGTGTGACTAAGAATTGGTGTGCACACATATGCAAGTGAGCAAACACGCCCATTGAGATTTTCTGTGATTGAGTAGTCCAACATCTACTGAGTTTAAAATCACATTAAACTTCTGCAATTATGGACAATGTGTGTGAA